CTAAAAATCATACCATTGAACTCATCTCGACCCCACGAACACAACCATGCAACTAGTTTCAAGAATGGTTGAGTTTTGACTCACCAACTCGGAAGTTTTGATTCGGCGAGTTTTGGGTTGACAATTTTCAGACCGAGTCATGGCGTTTTACGACTATAGGAAGCTGCTACTCAACTCCCTAAGAGTCCTGGTTAAGGTTTAAGGAAGAGTTGACTTGAAACAACCCGGTTTCAAGGAGTCGAGTTTTTGGCAAAACCTTTTGAGGCATTTTTAGGCCATTTCCCGTCCATTTTTTGGATTTCCAAGAGGTACAATCTTGTTCTATTCTTCATACGCATCATTTCCATATAAATTTCATAAAAAATGGTTGAGAAATGAGCAAGTTATGAAGCTTTGAAATTTTACCCAGAAATCGGTGAAAAATTCCAGATTCTAGCGTAACCAGACGGCAACCAGCGATGCTTGCTAGAGAAGACAACGGAATATTTTGTCAAAGTTGACAGAATATTCTAACGATGTCTGTTAACGCCGTTAAACTCTGTTAATTATTTAACGGAATATTCTTGACGGACGTCAGGGTCTGGCCTATGCGTGGTGGTGCATATGGCCGTGCCTTATTAGGCGCGTCCGGCCTTCGATTGGCTTTCTGTCAGTTTGTGTAGGTCCATGAGGTCGAGTAGATTGATTTTGTATATTCAACCCTATGTTTGAGCAAACTACAGAGGTTTTATTTAAGTTTCTGTTTAAGTGTTATTAAACTAAGTTAATTAATAATTTCACATATAGGGGAAACGTATCCCGAGGACATACGGGGTCAAGCAAGGCTCAGAGGCTTTGTTTCGACTGCGCAACTATGAGTGGGTCATTTCTTTTTATAAGTATACGCATACTTGCTAGTTTCCAGTTTACTTTAAAAAGAATATACTATGTATGACTTGCTTATACTAAAATTACATGAAGTAGTGAACTGACTGAACTTAGGGAATTATTTTGCGCCCTATAGGTTCACAAGTATGCACGAGATACCATGATATTATATTTACAACTGTGATTATTACTATGTTGATTAGAGTTATCAAATCTTTGTGGCATGATTATATTTATGTTATCTACTCATCATTGTTGCACCCCGGTGTTAATACTCACCCTAGGCCAAGGCCAGTCCTTCACGTGTATGTTCATATCCGCACCATTCGCTCGCCTTGGATCCAAGTAGGTGCCAGTCCTGTCGTACAGATTGCACTAGGAAATTTTGACTTTTATGTGACCGTGTTTCAGCGTCAACCTTCACGTGATCGTAGTACTAGAGTGCATTGATTACACCCAGTTCTGTCATACAAGTTGCATTAGGCGACTCCGACTCGTGTGCTAGCATAGATTGATGAGCAATCAGTTCAGTTGTATAGGTTGCGTTAGGCAACTCCGACTTGTGTGCTAGTAGATTGTTAAGCATTCTTTATGTTATGTTTACATATTGCGAGATTATGTGATTACGGTCACCTTGTGCTTACTTACGATAGCTGTATTTTATTGATTTTCTTGAGACTTTGCTGGCTACGGTAAGTATTTTCTTATTATACGTAGTACAAATATTTTGGAAACTATACTTGATTTTACGGCGAAGGGTTATATCATTTTTGAAAAGGTTTTTACAAAACACTATTTTTTGACCCCCTCAATGTTGTTTTTCCCCCCTCCAGGTTTAGTAGTTATGCTTACGTGGAAGCGAGGACTCTGGAAAAATCATTGCAGATGGTTATCTTCAATGGTATAACCTTCACCCTACGTTACTGTACTGTTCTTATGCTCTGACATCACGTGTGAATTGGGTAAAATCCTGCTCACCGGCACACTTTTATGATTAGGCAGTTTTAGGTTTTAATTTATTCACATTCTTTAACTACACTACACTTTATGGCTTCGTCACCCTCCAGGTGTCGGCCAACACAACTTAATTCGAAGTCCAAGTGGACATTTCAGGTCAGGGTGTGTTCATAAAAAATGGTTGAGAAATTTTACCCAGAAACTGGTGAAAATTTCCAAATTTAGGCGAAACAAGACGACGGCGATCGACGAGGCTCGTCGAAGAAGACGACGGAATATTCTGTCAAAGTTGATGGAATATTCTAATGGTATCAGGTAACGCCGTTAACTTCCGTTAGTTATTTAACGGAATATTTCGTCAGACTAACGGAATATTACTGACGAACGTCAAGGTTTGGCCTGCGCATGGTAACGTGTATGGCCATGCCCTAGTCGGCTCATCCGGCCTCCGATTAGCTTTCTGTCAATTTGTGTAGGTCTGTGACGTTGAGTAGATCGATTTCATATATTCAAACCCTATGTTTGAGCAATCTATGGAGGTTTTATTTAAGTTTCCATTTATATGTTATTAAACTAAGTTAATTAGTAATTTTGCATATAGGGGAAATGTATCCCAAGGATGTATGGGGTCAAGTAAGGCTCGAAGGCTTCATTTCGACTGCGTAACTGTGAGCTAGTCATTTCTTTTTATAAGTATATGCATACTTGCTAGTTTCTAGTTATACCTTGAAAAGAATTTACTACGTATGCCTTGCTTAGACTAAAATTACATGAAGTAGTGAAATGACTGAACCTAGGGAATTATTCTACGTCCTATAGGTTCACAGGTATGTACGAGATACCATGATATTATATTTACAGCTGTGATAATTACTATGTTGATTAGAGTTATCGAATCCTCGTGGCACGATTTTACTTATGTCATCTGCTCATTATTGCTACACCCCGATGTTAGTAATTCACCCAAGGTCAGGGCCATTCTTTCACGTGTATGTTCACATCCGCACCGTTCACTCGCCTTAAATCCAAGTTAGGTGCCAATCTTGTCGTACAGATTGCATTAGGCAATTTCGGCTCGTATATGACCGTGCTTGGGCACCAGCCTTCATGTGATTGTAGTACTTGAGCGCATTTATTACACCCAGTCCTGTCACATAGGTTAGATTAGGCAACTCCGACTCATGTGTCAGCATGTGTCGATGAGCATTTGTTATGTTATGTTTACTTATTACGAGGTTAAGTGAAATTGGTCCCCTTGTGCTTATTTGCGATAGCTGTGCCTTATTGATTTCTTCAGACTTTGCAGGCTACGGTAAGTATTTTCTTACTATATATAGTACGTCTATATTTTGGAAACTGTACTTGATTTGATGGCGAGAGGTTATAATGTTTTAAAAAGATCTTTTACAAAACGTTATTTTCTGACCCACTCAACTTTTTTTTTTCACCCCTCCAGGTTTAGTAGCTGGGATTTCGTGTAAACGAGGACTCTAGCAAGACCTCAGTAGATGGTTATCCTTAGTGGTATAACCTTCACCCTAATTATTGTACTTTTCTTATGTTTTACCATAACATGTGAAATGGGTTCAATCCCGCTCACCCGCGCACTGTTTTGATTAGGCACTTTTAGGTTTTGAATTTATTCGTATTTTTCCACTACACTACACTTTATGACTTCGTCACCCTCCAGGTGTTGGCCAACATAATTCAATTCAGAGTCCAAGTGGACATTCCGGGTCGGGGTGTGTCATCTCTATCGTTATTATTCTCAGATGGATGATGGAACACGCCCATGTGGGCATGTCAGCCAGACTTATGAGCTTAACGGAAGAGGATCCTCGCAGAATTGGCAGATCCTCTTTGTGAGGATCTCAGGGATCCTCCCACCATAACCGTTCATCGTGTATCATGCAGTCAGAAGTCATTGTAATTTTTTTATTTAAAATTGAATATAAACAATACCTGACAAAAACTGACCACACGATGCACGATAAACGGTTGTGATGGGAAGATTCCCGGGATTCTCACAAAGAAGATCCTCTTCCGAGCTTAACAACCCTTGGATTAAATCCAATCGTTGATATCTCTATGATCAAATCAAAGGGTATAAAAAAATTTTAACAGCTCAAATTTAAATTTAATGATTAAAACTTTTAAACTTAATATTCACCTAATTTAGTGATTTTTTTAATGATTATCAGAATTCAAATATTTTTAAGTTAAAAGTGTTCATAAAAGTAAATTTGGATAATCTACATATTTAAAAAAAAAATTAAAAGAAAACTACATTTATTTTTTTAATAATTTTGGACTAAAAAATTTAACCCAAAAAGGTTGGAGTAGAAAAACTGTTCGTGAATTAAAGCCTAAACGTTTTATGTTAAAAAATTTAAATTTTATTCCAAAAGTTAAAGATGGTTTAATAAATTGTAATTTCATTCTCGCAAGTATTTTTTTTTAGGTTACTTTTCGTTTTTTTAATCCAAATTTTAGATTACTCTCTTATTGAACTTGGGTATCGCTGTCCCGATCCCCTAACTGATCTTGTTTTTCTTTCTAAAAATGCGGTTTTTGATGCAATTTCTTTTCCATTTTCTTTTCCCACAATGCTTCATTTCCCACAGAATATACCCAAACTCTAGTACTGTAGCTGCCCATAGCCCTCCCCTAGCCTTCATCAAAACCTGCTGCTAATGTACAGCCTGTCCATCCTCCATCTGCTATCGCTGCCCCGCATGCTGCTGACACTACTTTAGTACAACACAAACCCACTACCAAACCCTAGTGAGCAATAAAAATTTTAAACTATAAAAGAGTGAGAGGTGAGAGGAGAGAGAGAGAGAGAGTTCGTAGAGAGAGAGAACTCTAGTACTGTAGCTGCCCCTAGCCTTCATCACAACCTGCTGCTAATGTACAGCCTGTCCATCCTCCATCTGGCATCGCTGCCCCGCATGCTGCTGCCACTACTTTAGTACAACACAAACGCACTACCAAACCCTAGTGAGCAATAGAAATTTTAAACTATAAAAGAGTGAGAGGTGATAGGTGAGAGGAGAGAGGAGGAGAAAGAGAGAGAGAGAAAGAGTCCGTAGAGAGGTGAGGAGCAGAGAGAGAGGGTTCGTAGAGAGGTGAGGGGCAGAGAGAGAGGGAGGGACGGATTTCTGGGTGTGTTCATCGGGTTTCCACTCTCAGTGCAAGTTCTCGGTGTTCTTCGAAGCTCAAGGCTGCAGATCTTCTCAGGTTCATTTGTTCTTTTCTCTGGTTGTTTATGTCTATCAGTTGTTTGATTAAATGACTAAGTAAGAAGATTTCTGGGTTTCGCATATATTTCTTGATGTATTAAAATCTAATGCCGTATGTTAGTAGTTAAAGATTGAAACAATATAACCGTAATCCTCCAGAGTAGGTGTCCTCTTGTCGTCATCAATTAACCTGGTACTGGGCAGCTTGTCCAATGAGACAATATCCTATCTTCCATATCGGAGGCCTTGTCCTCTACCTCATCTGACCCCTGGAGCACAGTTGTCTTTAGCGTTCGGTTCCTTGGTTTCTCCCTAAACCTAGATTTTTACCCATGAGAGGCAGGATAATATTAAACAAGGCCGGAATATTTAATCGAAAACATTGCATTCAATAATAAGATTTGATATTGGCCTGGATTAAGTAGGACACATTGGATCTCAGAGACGGAAAAACTTGGTAGAAATGTTCATAAACTAAAATCATAATATTGAGTAGCATGGTAATAAACAATTTTGATCAGTATGATCGTTTGGGTTGGCTTTGAAGAGCATTGGCGTATTGAGTGGCTTGAAAAATCACTTGGAGTTTGAATCGTGGAGATTAAACTTTTGATGAAGGTCCTGAGCATAAATGACACTTCTATTTATAGATGAAGGTAAATCGACCTATTGACTACAACATTTCGTGGTTGGTCTTACCATGACGGTCTTGAACGAACATTTAATTAGATTTTTTTTTTATACATAAAACCGAAAGAAAAAAAAAAGAATCACATACGGTGTGCTTAGAAAAAGGATCTCTAACCACCTGCAAAGTAATTTATACAGCGCTAGTAAGTTAACTAGAGAAAAGTGTTATGATAGAGAGAGAAAAAAAAAACACAAAAACAAAGTACATAGAAAGAATAAAGACAGATTAAAAATCTAGTAGTCTTCATTCATCAAAATATTTTTTTCTCGCATCTTCGAACTCCTTTGCAAAACAAGTCAGAACAGATTGACAACATTGTCTCACCCAGGTTTTAAAGATTTTCCACCTTTTATCTACGTGAGCAGGAAAAAAATTAGCTCATAAGATAAAATAAAGAGTCTTAACTGTGCATGCAAGCTCAAGGCTGCAGATCTTCATAGGTTTATTCGTTCTTTTTTCTGGTTGTTTATGTCTATCAGGTGTTTGATTAAATGCCTAAGTGAGAAAATTTATGGGTTTCATATATATTTTCTTGATGTATTAAAGGCCGATGCCATATGTGAGTAGTTAAAGATTGAAAGAATATAAGGCCGAAACCATTCTTTCTGTATCAAGGCTTGAAGATTTTCTGCATTTCAAAGGCCGAAGCTAAAGTTGCAAGGAACATTTGAAGATTTGTTGATCTTTCTGGGTTCTTTTACATTTCATAAGGTCGAAGCCGAAGTGTAGTTCCGAAGTTTGTTTGAAGGAATTTTTGAGAAATTTCTTGATGTGTAAAACATTTTCTTGGTGTTTAACAATGTCTGAGTGAAAGTTCTAAGCTATGGATATCGATCCCAGTTTCCTTTTGACTTTGATTGCGTTCTTTTTCACTATGACAATTATCCAAAACATTTTGGTAGGAAGATCAATTTGTCAGATGACTCCTATGTGATAGAACTCGTGTCCTTCGTGCTGAAGTTAATAGGAGTAGAGTCTCTGTTCTTCGTGTTGCTCGTATTTGCGGTTCAGCAGGAGTATCCACTCCTGCTTGGTTTGGCAATGTTCGTGGGCAAAGTCATGTATTGGGTGTCGCAGTATGAGACATTACCGAAGTATCTATACTACATCATGTTTGGCATTCTAAACTTCCTACTGTTTGGTTCCTTGGCTTTGAAAATAACCTTTGATTTTGGATGGGGGAACGTCGATGTTGTTGGGTCGACATTCCCCCATCCAAAATCAAAGGTTATTTTCAAAGCCAAAGAACCAAACAATAGGATGTTCAGAATGCCAAACACAATGTAGTATAGATACTTGGGTAATGTCTCATACTGAGACACCCAGTACATGACTTTGCCCGCGAACAATGCCAAACCAAGCAGGAGTGGATACTCCATCTGAACTGCAAATACGAGCAACATGAAGAACATAGACTCTACTCCTATTGACTTCAGCATGAAGGACACGAGTTCTATCACGTAGGAGTCATCTGACGAATTGGTCTGCCTACCAAAATGTTTTGGATAATTGTCATAGTGAAAAAGAACGCAATCAAAGTCAAAAGGAAACTAGGATCGATATCCATAGCTTAGAACTTTCACTCAGACATTGTTAAACACCAAGAAAATGTTTTACACATCAAGAAATTTCTCAACAAACTTCGGAACTACAATTCGGCTTCGGCCTTATGAAATGTAGAAGAACCCAGAAAGATCAACAAATGTTCCTTGCAACTTTAGCTTCGGCCTTTGAAATGCAAAAAATTTTCAAGCCTTGATACAGAAAGAATGGTTTCGGCCTTATATTCTTTCAATCTTTAACTACTCACATATGGCATCGGCCTTTAATACATTAAGAAAATATATACGAAACCTATAAATCTTCTCACTTAGGCATTTAATCAAACACCTGATAGACATAAACAACCAGAAAAAAGAACGAATGAACCTATGAAGATCTGCAGCCTTAAGCTTGCATGCACAGTTAAGACTCTTTATTTTATCTTATGAGCTAATTTTTTTCCTACTCACGTAGATAAAAGGTGGAAAATCTTTAAAACCTGGGTGAGACAATGTTGTCAATCTGTTCTGACTTGTTTTGCAAAGGAGTTCGAAGATGCGAGAAGAAATATTTTGATGAATGAAGACTACTAGATTTTTAATCTGTCTTTATTCTTTCTATGTACTTTGTTTTTGTGTTTTTTTTTTTCTCTCTCTATTTTAAGACTTTTCTCTAGTTAACTTACTAGCGCTGTATAAATTACTTTGCAGGCGGTTAGAGATCCTTTCTCTAAGCGCACCGTATGTGATTTTTTTTTTTCTTTCGGTTTTATGTATAAAAAAAAAATCTAATTAAATGTTCGTTCAAGACCGTCATGGTAAGACCGACCATGAAATTACGGATGTACTCTATTAATTTAACCAAGAACATGAACGGCACCACCACTATTAAGAAGCATCAACATACAAAGACAAAAGTTTCTACAATCAGTTGTTAAATTGCTACCAAAAACATACATGAAAAGAATAAAAATGACCACAAAGATGGCAAAACAATTAACCACATATGTTGTTTATATGCCCACTAAGAGGCAAAATTAAGCTTTTGCATTTGAAAAAACTTATTTGTATATAATAGACATGTCCCTTTAGCTTAAGCTCACACACCATCTGAAAGAGCCTCTTGTATCCATTCCAATTATTCTACTGTGGAGCATGTCCCTCTACTATTCCCCACCAGCAATCAACCGTAAAAGCCATCTACATTAACTGATTTCAATACCCTTAGCTGCTTTAGTAGACCATCTAGGTCAACCAGTTCACACTTCATATTAATGACACCTAACTGCCACCAAAATAAAAGACATGATGAAGAGCATACAAATTAGAGACTAAGCTTAAAAACAACCCTTGTGTATTAAGCAGAACTTGAACTCACTTGACTTGGCAACCTCTAATGCAAGGTATAGAGTAGAAAAGCAAACGCATTGTCAAACAGAAAACCAACAATTTAACTTGCACTGCAAATAAATATTGGTAAAGTTATAGAACTCACTGGTAGCATTACACATACCAATAAGAAACCTAAATATCAGTGTTTGGGAAAGTTTAGTTTATTTGAAGTGTCAGGAGTATGTACAGGGTAGACGGTTCTTACAAAATAGAATGTGAGAGATGAGGTCTAAATGAACTGGTGGCAGCGGTGATTGAAACTTGAAAGGATATGGTTTAAGTTTTTCAATGGTGAAGCGGTGAGTGACAGGAGATGGAGAGGGATGAAGGTTTGCCAGATGAGGCGAGGAGGGAGAGGGAAAGAAGAAAGGAAGGAGGCATGACAGCTCATGCACAAAGACACGTGTTAACGTGGGACAATTTTGCAATTTTACTGTGCAAATGAGAAAAACAAAGAGCAATTTGAACAGTAAAACGGGGGCAATTCCGTCTTTACATTGTTCTTATGAACACTGTTTTTTGCCGTAGGGCTTTAGTATATATAATATAATAAATTTTAGAGTTTTAGGTGTCAATTGTATTGGTCAAGAATGCTGCAACGTGGAGGCTTGAAGTGGTGAATGCACGTTGATTGTTGCAAAGCAAGGAACCTGGAGGTGGCAAGGGTACATATGTTTTAGTGTTTGGTCACCTATATTTGTTTTTACATGCGTGGTTATAGCTTTGATGAATGAGCAATATGGGATGCTTATTCTTCGTCCTATAGTAGCTGCGTGATAGGTTTTTAAGACACCATTTTATCTTTGCTTTTTTTACTGCCAATTGGAACCAGCTTTATGCCGCCTCCCAAATGCTAATCGTTATACAACCACATATCACTTCGGCAACACTAATTCATCCAAAATCACAAATTTTATTCCAAATCTCCAATGTCATATCACCAATCAATCATTTACAACTATATAATCTCTCAATTTTTATACAAAGAATTAGAGATCATGAACAAGAAATGAAAGCATCATATACTCTCATCTCTGCCTTTTAACCAATGCACGCAGCTCCACTTTCATTCCTTAATGAAAATAATAGAAATCAGAGTCACTCAATGATGGAAATCCCCCAAAATAGACCACACAAATAATCAGCATGCAAGCAGCAATGAAGGTGATGATCAACCTTGGCTTACAAAGCAAATGATCCAGAAGCATGAATACATTGAAGCTTAAATGGTTGGATTCATATCTCAGTTTTCCTAAGGAATTCTAGAGGTAGAGTTTCTCTCACTAAACTTATTAGTGCAGCCCAAAACTCCTTAGTAAAAACTGGTGCATGCTAAACGTAACCTGTAACATAAGATTGAATAATCAGAAACAAAGTGATGGTATTACCACCACCAGAGCATTACTCAATCAGCATTATCACAGGCTTAACGTGCCTCACAGTCAAAGAAAAGTATTGAACCAATTAAAGGAAAAGAGTCGCAATAAACGTTAACTAAAATAGAAAGAAACGGAGTTAATTCACTGAGCTCTGAGAATGAATTATACTGTAGTCCGCCTTGCCATGTCATTAAAGGAATGGCTAACCACGATGTTTCTCCCTCCATGATCAAGAGGAGTAAAGTGAAAAGAACCTGAACACAAATATAATACAGAAAAATTCTTATATAGAAAATACAATACACAAAATTATATATGTTAATGAGATTCGAGTAGTATTACACTTATCATCTAGTTGTATCATCATTTGTACAAGAAACGACTTGGTTTTTATAACATGACTTAACAAGTTTATTTTTTAAGTTGTAAACTTGTATACCATCGTAACCATCAAGGGATGATTCCATGCGAAATCTACGACAATATTCAGTGTGAAGTAAATTGAGTTTTCTTCGAATTTCGAAAATGTTTTTGAATTTATAAGGGTTTTGTTTTGTTTGGCCCTCATTATTGTTTAAATATTGGTTTTCTTTGTGAGTTCATTCAAATCCTCTGCGGGTGATGAAACTAAACTATCAAAAATGGAAAGCAAATCCATGTTCACCTGACCATCAAGCAAAATAACTAATCCATATCTCTTAAATTAATGGTTTAATTAATTTCTCTCATTGGAAGCGTCACAACATTTCTGTTTTGTGGTAAAAAAAATGTTTCAAATATTCATTCATACGTTTCTTATAACTATTCCAAACTAGCCGTAGAATAAAAAAAATAACATATTTATAAGATGAAAATAAAGAAAAAAAAATCACAATCCAAGTCGGGGCTGAATTTTTACTTGTGTTGGCAACCAGTCGAGATTTATAGTGACTTAATTAACAACTTCAGTTTCTAAATTATATGCTCCAAGATGAAAATCACGAGGCTGCCCAGTCACCACAGCTCTGATGTTCTGGAAATTTCCTGGTGGATAACGACATTGCCGGTAATAGATTTTCGACCAAAATCAAAGCACGACCACGAAAACAGTCAACTTTCTCCCACATTTTAATTGGCAGCAACGTCTAACTTGTAGACATAAAAAGGCGCTGATATTTTTTCCCGATTAGGATACAGCAACCTTCCGTGCTCCACAAGCAAAATCCCCCCATTGTTTCCACCAATTGATGCACTAAATATGCAGCCGTCACTTAGAACCATTTGATCCATCAAGGGCTGTAAATCCATGATTTTCATGGGAAAATTCTGTCAAATATATTGCAGAAATATACCAACTATTTATATGATCAAATATAATAAATTAAATGTATAATCATTTTAGACTTATGAAAAATTAAATTAGGAAAAATGAATAAGAATATCTGACCTATGAACCGAAGAGAGGCGCGATGTTGCTGCCCTAAAGTCGTAGACGCCACCCTATGTGTAGGTTATGGCAGTGCCTACAACTCCAAGATACAACCCAAAAGCCTCACAAGA